TGGAAGTAGCAGTATCTTTATTGTGTATTATATGGAAAGAAGTAATATCTGTATTGTGTATTATATGGGAAGTAGCAGTATATTTATTGTGTATTATCTTGGAAGTAGCAGTATCTTTATTGTGTATTATATTGAAAGTAGGAGTATCTTTATTGTGTATTATATTGGAAGTAGCAGTATCTTTATTGTGTATTATATTGGAAGTAGCAGTATCTTTATTATGTATTATATTGGAAGTAGCAGTATCTTTATTGTGTATTATCTTGGAAGTAGCAGTATCATTATTGTGTATTATATTGGAAGTAGTATAATCTTTATTGTGTAATATATGGGAAGTAGCTTTATCTTTATTGTGTATTATATTGGAAGTAGCAGTATCTTTGTATTATCTTGGAAGTAGCAATATATCTTTATTGGGTATTATATTGGAAGTAGCAGTATCTGACATGTATAGCAGTATAATGAGATGTTGAACAACTGTTGGTGGTGGAATATATAATAATGAGATGTTGAGCNGCTGATTGTGGTGGAATATAATAATGAGATGTTGAACAACTGATTGAAGTGGAATATAAAATAATGAGATATTGAACAACTGTTTGTGGAGGAATATATAATATTGAGATGTTGAACAACTGATTGAAGTGGAATATATAATAATGAGATATTGAACAACTGTTTGTGGTGGAATATATAAAACTGATATATTGAACAACTGATTGAAGTGGAATATATAATAATGAGATGTTGAACAACTGATTGAAATGGAATATATAATAATGAGATGTTGAACAACTGTTTGTGGTGGAATATATAATAATGAGATGTTGAACAACTGATTGAAGTGGAATATATAATAATGAGATGTTGAACAACTGATTGAAGTGGAATATAAAATAATGAGATATTGAACACCTGTTTGTGGTGGAATATATAAAACTGATATATTGAACAACTGATTGAAGTGGAATATATAATAATGAGATGTTGAACAACTGATTGAAATGGAATATATAATAATGAGATGTTGAACAACTGTTTGTGGTGGAATATATATTAATGAGATGTTGAACAACTGATTGAAGTGGAATATAAAATAATGAGATGTTGAACAACTGATTGAAGTGGTATATATAAAACTGATATATTGAACAACTGATTGAAGTGGAATATATAATAATGAGATGTTGAACAACTGATTGAAATGGAATATATAATAATGAGATGTTGAACAACTGTTTGTGGTGGAATATATAATAATGAGATGTTGAACAACTGATTGAAGTGGAATATAAAATAATGAGATGTTGAACAACTGATTGAAGTGGAATATAAAATAATGAGATGTTGAACAACTGATTGAAGTGGAATATATAATAATGAGATATTGAACAACTGTTTGTGGTGGAATATATAAAACTGATATATTGAACAACTGATTGAAGTGGAATATATAATAATGAGATGTTGAACAACTGATTGAAATGGA